AAAAAGAGATCCAGAAGCCCAACAGGCTAAAGAGAAGAACAATCATTCCCTGTTATGAGCTTGAAACTATAGGCCTGCTGACTTCTTTTAGTTATTTCCACATTGGATTGGAAAGACTACAAGATATTTATAAATGCCTCATATCTTGCCCAGTAGTTAATAAAACTGAAGATTGAAAAGTGTATTTTTCTCCTTGATGGTCATTGTTTCTGTTTACCAGGACACATCATAAACCAGATGTCCCTGAACCTGAACTTGAAACTGAACCCAGATGTGTGTCTGTAAAGAGTGATCGATCAAAGGAAGCCATCGTTGTCTTCAAAGGAAGTGGATCCCCTGCTGTTGAGAAGTAAGATTAAATGATGCCTAATAGGAATTAAAGCTGACGTGTTTCCTTACTCCAGTCTGTTGAACTGGTGATAAAATGGTAACTTAAAGTAAGACTTGGAATAGAAGGAAATCATTTTCTGTCTGAAAGATGAATTCAGTGTATCACTGTAATCTATACATGATATCAACATGACCTTGATCTTTCTCTTTGTAGGAACACTACTGATAAAAAATTAGTATGTGATTATTATTCTTGAGTATCAAAGAAAAGTCTTATTTTAATACTAAAATTATTCAATAGTCACCTTTTGTTTATAGTCATGTTTTATAGTACTTTTCAAAATCAGGTCTACAAAGTTTTTTACAATGAAAAATTAAGAAACAACTATGTAAAACAAAACAAATTAGACATTTTTCCCTTTGATATTTATGGTGGTATGAAAGATGAAGAGAGAATGGCCTTTATATTGTTATTTCAAGCACTGTGAGTGAAGAATCCACCTGCTGGTCAGACAGAGGATGAATTGAAGGCCTGCACTGTTACTCATGCAATGGTACTCTAGTAGAGTCCAAATTTTAAAAAGAGAGCTCGAGATGAACATAAATAGGTTAATTTAAGACCTTTATAAGACAGACACACAAAGTCTAAGCTTTGATTCTTCACGTTGTCTCCACAGAGTTGTTCAGTCTGGCTCAGATGTCTCCTGCCCCCATCATGCCCCGCAACATAAAACTGACCTGGGACAAATATTTATGGTCTGTATATGTGAAACATTTATTTATTTATTTTTGTACTACACAGCTTAAATCAAAAAGTAGATAAAAGTAAGCTGCTTTCACTAGAACTACAGTTTAAATAGAAATAAAGCCAAAGCATTACCTTCACTTGAGGAAATTTGTTCATTTGTCATTCATTCTGTTTCAGGGGTTGGAGGACAACATTGTCACTTTTG